AACACCACGAAGTTTTCAAACTGAACAGGTTCTTTAAACGCTGCTTCCCGACTTATTCATAGAGTAACATAAAAATTAATAGTGGTAACTCTGGCCAAAAGCGGCGGCGCTATGCAGCTTCACGCCAGCCGTAAGATGGCAACACAACAGTCACTGCTTTCAAGGAAAACGGACACACTACCGTACTTACTCATGTAGTGAACAAACTTTTATTCTAGAAAAATCGGAGAAAAGTTAGAACTTAATATGCAGGGCAAATTTCATGAAAACTTCTTCGGAAGGAGCAAAAACTGCAGTAATCTAAAAGAAAGTTAGGTCGCTTATCTTTTCGCAATTTATATAAACATACACTGTTTGGAAACAGCTTCTTTGTTGCACTTTACTCATCTTTGGTTGCATGATGGCGCTATCTTCTGCAAACTGTCCCTGGGCCGCCCGTGCATGCCATAAAAGCGTTTCGCGGCTATCTTTTCTCACAATCATTTAACCACAGCAGTGGTATCTGCTGTGATCCCGAGGGGTGCCGAAAGCGTGCGCTACGACACACTTTGCCAACTTCGCGGCAGCCTCACACGACCACCACGACGCCGTTAACATTGTAGCAAGCTACCCCCGAAACCTCAAAACAAACCGTCGATAACAAGATTAACGACAATATACGACCGCCGCCTTGCTTCTGCATGAGAAGTTCCTCTACGCACGGATAACAAGCAAAGAGAGAACTGGGGATGCTATCATGTTGCAGAAATCGTCACAATCTTTTCTGGACAAGCGATTTTTTTTCTGGTTTTCCAGAAACCTGCAACGCGATAGCGACGAATGACCTTTCGTGACAGCAATTCCTGTCTTCATCGCTCAAAAACTGCGTGCACGTGGTTGGGTTTTTTTCGTATTTGCAGGAAGCGATTGTCGATCGGTTGGCGTGGGCAGTTTTAAGCACACAGCGAGCGAAGGTCACGATCGTGACCTTCGCTCGTGTGTGCTCATCAGCTGTAATGTCTCTACACGCGCACCGTTCCTGAACCCCTGCTGGCATGCCGCGCACAGATAGAAAGAAAAACAATACGGCGTGCGGCAATGGGCGACGGGGGGGAGCTAGCAATGGTGACTGAGGGGTGCCGGCGAAATGGCAAAATAATAAAAAATGGAAGTGATCCAAGGGGTGAGGAGACGCCAGGTGTTGGTTAGCGGGACTGCAGCGGATGAATGTAGGGGGTGCGTTTATTATGTGAGTGCGTTCATTACGCAAGTAAATACGGTAGTTATCTGCTACAGTACCTTTTCTAGTGTCTTTGCGACTGCGATTGTGGCTTTCTTATCCGTCATTAGCGTCTCGCATGCACATGGTCGGGCAATATCTGGCATAAATCTGATGCGAGAGAAGTGAACATGGCCTCGCCGCGACGGCAACGTTTTCACATTCCCTGTTCATGAGCATTTAAGGCAATGAAGAAGTATGAACAGCAGCAGGGAGACACAACGAAAGATGTGCCATAACGTGCCTGGCGTGCATCGTGGTGTTTGCTTGTTTTATCTGCCTCTTGGCTTGGCTGCTGCTAGGTGCAAATGCCATCATTACTTTGTAAAGTGCATATTGCATTCGTCATTGAGGCCTTAAAGTAACGTTGTTCCCATTGCGCAGTTCCGCGCAGAAAGCTTTTTTTGTACTCTTCACCTCGCTTTGTACTCCTCACCTCATTTTCGTAAACTGCATCACGCGAAAAAAACAAACTGTTTGTAATGCTGCACAGCACATTTATGAGAAAATCGTTTCTTGGCTAAAAAGTGAGTCGCCACTCGCATTATTAGGTTTTCTTTGTGCCGGTACATGTATTCAAATTCAGTTCATGTGTGAGATAGGATGTTATATGTGACGTTCGATAATTACATAAAGCTCCAACGATCTGATAAGAGAAAAGTGGTGAATCTAGAAAAACATTTGTTAGCTAAAACCAAGGCTTAATCTTTGATCAAACATTCCTGCCTCGTTAACAGCTTGCATGGCACCTAAAATTGCTTTGTTTTTGCTGTAGCAACAGCTTGTGACTGTTTTTCGCAAAAGAACAATGTGAAGTGCGTAGGAGAAAATCTGTTCGAAGGCGGCAAAGAAAACCTAACTAACATTTTTCTCTTCTTCGTTGAGTTCATGCCGGAGTCAATTGCTACGGCAACCAATACCGCGTTGCATTGTGCACTGTAGGTGTAGTTGTGTGCATCTATTGCAGTTTTACTGTTCTGTGGGTCTTCTTATAATGTTGTCTATATGCTTTTTTTGTGTGTAATTCATACTCATGATATGGCAGCTGTATTTCCACGTCTCGCAGTGCAACGTACCTCCCTTTGTGCCTTCGTTTATCATACATTAACAAAGTGAGCATGTGCTTACCAAGAATATCACTTGAAAATAAAAGTTTTCACTCCTCCAATGAGTCTCATGTTGTATTTAAAATGTGTGCATAGACACACAGTCGCTCTGGTAGCGCAGCTTACACGAAGTTAATTGATACATGCAAACGATACGTTAAAAAAAAGAAACTTAAAGTATGACCTCAGAGACGAGCACGCACATATAAGTGGTCTTGGACACTGTATAATATTCCTAATTGCTAAAAAATAGCCCTTCGAGACATCCTTTTTTACCGCCTCCCATCTCTGAGGCTGCAAAGATTCTCAACGGCCGTTTGGAGCGCTGCGAACCCAAATCAGCCGCAGGGGCCTATGGGAGTGTCCTCTCTTAACTTTTTATATATTACTCTATGACTCATTCACCATGCCCGGAAACATAGCCTTCAAAATTGGCAGCTGTTACTCGGAGAAAACTGTTGCTGGGACGCAAGTTTGTACCAGTTTTTACACCACCTAGATAAGAGCAACACCTAAGAAAGTTGTTTTACCCGACATGTCTCACTCTGTTAGTGAATTCCCTCACTTTTCCCTGTTTTCCCAGTTGCTAGACACCCTGTAGATATTCAACACATGTCTGACAAATGCTAGTGAGAGTTGGTCAATAGCTGGAACTCAAGGTTAAAGAAGCTGTTTGTAAAACACGTGTTTGCGAGTTTACCAAGTGATACTGCCAATACTATGCATGCACAGTCACTCCCTGAAGTTATAGTATAGAACTAATCAAGTAGTGGCGTTTTATTGCTACCAGGGTTCTTTTTTTTTTCTATTATACAATTCCCCCTCTCGCCCATAGTAATAATTATTGAAAGCACCATGCATAGATACTTTTACATACGCTCGTGTCATGTAAAATTGCATAAAGATCTACAACTTAGGATGCCGATCATATCACAAGCAACGTTAAATGAAAGGTATCAGCCTGAGCAAAATCGGAATTCAATACATTAATCCATACCCATCTTCTTAGTAAAAGCATTACTGAAAATGAGTGACTACTCAGCCTACTACACTCAATTCCCAACGAGGGGGCCCTAGTAAAACTGTGACAAGACACTTTTCATATTTGTAAACCTAATTTTCCTGCAATGCAGCTTGCTCAATTAATTTCAGTTTGTCACTTTCTGCAAACAGAGTGTTTAGATACAGTTTACTTGCACTATGGCATAAAAAACGTAAGCTCAGTTCTCCAGACATTAATGCGCATAAATAGATGAATCCCAGCATGTTCAACTAGGGCCTCCCCTCCATTTGTACCAGGAAAGGTGCAGCCATTAGGAGGGCTAATATGCAGTGCAGGGAAGTGTACTTGGAGATTATGAAAAGGGTCTATTAGTCAAATTATTCAAAACGCTGAATTATTAAACAGTGAAAAGACAGAAAGCCCTATTAAACATTCTTCAAGATAAAGGCAGAGATTCAGAAGGATTTCCTGGTTGAACTTAAAGGGACACAAAAGGCAAATAAATTATGTCAGAGTGAAAGATCAATGTAAGTGAACGTCTAAAACATCATTAAGTATTATCATGAGCAATGTTCTCCCTATCCAGAAATTAACGTAAATGTACGACACTAAACGCATCACTAGAGACATTTCGAAATGATCCCTATGATGTCAAAGAGCCTGGCTATAATCAACCATTAGTGATCAAACCAGTCGCAATAAAAAAAGAACCTTCTGTGCATTGCAACATGTGATAATATGCTGCTTCTCCGTTTATGTTTGATTCACGGAAAAACGAACTGCTTTGTGTTACCACGGGAATGGCATGATTGGTTCTAAAGTTCCATTTTCACCTAGGCTGGATAGGTGATGCGATCTAGCGGGGCTAACTTGAACCAGGCAAGTGCAAAATTTTTATTGCAGAAACACTCTACATTATACTTCTGGTGTGAACGCATTGCAACAACCTAATTACGAATAAGTTGCCCTTTAAATATTTTTTTCCTCAAAAATGCTAGGCAAACACAAATGTGTCTATGACTGTGGTCGAACAAACCATCACAAGATGTCAACACCATTGTCCAGAAACCGAGCATTCCTACAATCCTTTGCTATGTCGAGGGCCATGCAGCAAAGACAGGTAATATTGAGCAAGGCAACTGCTATGTCACAGAGGCCCGTTTTCAGGCGGGCTACTTTAAATGCGCTAAGGCCGTGCATACCACTAAAATGTGATTGCATTTTAATATAAGCATTTCTTTGGATGAAAGTACCACTACGAGGTTTCTGGATAGCTATTTCGGCCATTAACAAAGACTTATTATTGGCCTTTAGTGTCCCTTTAACAGACAATGCTGTGTAATTGCCACAATACAATATGCTTAAAAGACAAAGCAAGCTACTAAATATGCAGGAGTGCCACAAGAATAAACAAGCATAAAACAGAAGACTTCATAGATATAAGAAGCCTTTCACTGAATTAATGTTTTCAGGCTTTCAGTAAATTTGATGTTTATCAGAGGGCACTTCAGGAGGTTGAATTAACCAAACTCAATTTAGTGAGAGTTGTCAATAGACAGATTGATTTTCTACTAGCACAGGACTCATTACTGCGAGGGATACGCAATCATGAATGCTGAAAAGCTACACGTACCTGTTGCTTGGCTCCACTGTGACTGTGACTGGCCTAAAGCTAGGATTATGCACAAGAAGACTCACTGGTATCACCAACAGTCTAAAATAGAGCAAAAGTGCACTTAATAACACATGTGTATTGGACAAATATATATCACAATATATTTAGGTGACATCTGGAGAGTACAAACAATTATGTAAACAAGTGAAACACTCACTACCAAATATTTTTTTTTGAGAAAGTATACAGTTGAGCCCACATATAGCGGCCCCACTTAAAACGAACAATATACGCATGACCGTGAAAATATACATTGGTTCAATGGCACAAAATCGCACTTATAACGAACGTCTCCAAGCGCCGCTGACCGGTTACAGCGAATGGAGTCAGAGATCTGCCGACTTCCCGGGAAACCAATTTCGACCACTGATCAGGCATCGGCGAGGTGCCCATACATTCTTATTGTTAAACGTCGACTCTGCCTGCGCGCCCCTCTAGTTGCCGCTCTCCCCGACCGCTTTTTGTTACGCACTCCTCCGTCCTTTGTCCCCCCACTACTCTGAGCACCCGGCATCGCCAGACGAGGCCCGTGTTTTCACACTGCCATCGATATTTCGAAAACCGGTCGGCCATCTACCCTGTTTTTGATCACTGGTACTGTCGTTGGTGTCGCCGGCCAGGAGTGACCAGAACATTTGCCAACATCGTCGGCCACCGATTGTATCCGATAGTCTGCGTCTAGTGCACGCGCGTACGTTACCCCACCGACTCTGATAATTTGGGATTCGTTTCATGTTTAGGACTTGTTCTCACTCACTTCGCACTCAACTCAGCATGCCTTCCGCGCGCGTGCAGAAGTGCGAAAATGGCGGTTAATTTGTGCGGAACGAATCGCAAAATATCGAAGTTCGCGCAGCCGGTGCAACGAAACGATTTTGTGAACACGGCCGCCGATTCTTCGAACACAGCCGTGCGCACCGGTTCAGGTGGCCATGCACTCTTTAAAAGTTTTTCTACGTACGAGTTTCGCGGATCTTTCAAGCAAGCTACCCAACCTGCCTCCTTTCCATGTGTTTTGGTTTTCAAGCTCGCCCTCCCGCCGCATCCTCCCCTCTCTTTATCGCAACTCCTTGCCCTTCACTCACAAGTCTGCTCACCTCTCTTGATCACAACCCCTTCCGCCCGTCTCCACCGCTCAGCGACGCCCACCACGATGGCTCAAATTAGTTTCGTTTTTTGACTGGAAACGGGCCCAGAGCTGTTCCACACGCTCTGGCATGTGTGTCGCGTGTGCGCGTCTTGCTCGCTCTTGGTGTGCGTGTGTGGTCATGATGGCCGACGGGAGGACTAGCACACTTTTTCGTGCCGCTCAACAAAACGTCGAATGTGTGACCGCTTGGCTTTAGCGTAATCGGCGCGTTAGGTGCTGCGTTGCGGAGCACTTGCTCATAGCTGTTGGCCACCTGGCAGTCAACTTGCCGCTTCGGGAATCCCTGTATTCAGCTGTGGAGATGGTGAATATTTCGTGGGCGGCGGTGGCGACTACATGCGCACGAAAGTTTTCGCGAGGCCGACTTCGTCGACGTCGAGCCCGATGCCAAGCCATAAGCTTCCGAACTGCGGCGGCGATTAGTGGCCGCGCGTCGTCGACTCCGACCTGGGAGAGCAGGTGGGACGTCTGTTGCGATGGTTTAATTACAGCCGATGATGATCCCGACACTGCGGAACCGTGCACGGATTGGGGCATTGTGAATGAAGAACGTGGCGAGAGCGATTTGGAGGAATCGGATTGCGAGAATGATGAAACTATGGAGCCAGTGCCTCATGCAGCTTATGCCACGAGCCTCGGCAAACGAGCACCCTGCCGTTTTAAATGAATTCGAGACCGCCCTTATCTCTTCTGTTCTTCGAAACACGTGCATGACGGACTCTTTGGGGCAAAAAAGTTTGTGTTTTTACTCGCAACTTTTTTTAAAGCTGTGTTTCATTTAATACGAACTTCGGGATACAGCGAACGAATGCCACGTCCCGCTCAGGTTCGTTATAAGCGGGCTCGACTGTAGTACAAAGCTTAAATGTTTAGAATTCAACGAGATTGTATGTTTAGATCTAGATGTAACGTAAAGCAAGTCCTGTTCTGATACTTTATCCGTGCTTTGCTTCATATTTTATAGAGACAGAATGCTGCCACAGCATACTTGGTGCTAAGAACAGGCAATAATATTTGTTAGGGTTTTACATCCAAAATCAAGATCACAGTCATTATGAGAAATGCCATAGTGCAGGGCTACGGAAATTTTGACCACCTGAGGTTCTTTAATTAACATGTGCCTAAATCTAAAAGCTAAATATAATGTTTTGCCCACATAGAAATGTGCATGTGGCAACGGTGATCCGGTCCTGTAAACTTTGGGTTAGCTGCCGAGCATCATAATCACTAGACTGCCATGGTGGGTTTTCAGAACAGCAAAGCTGCAACTTATGAAACTTGTATAACAGGATATGCATACACAAAGACACACGTGTAACAAAATTATATTTCAAACCCTAACAGAAGCGATTTTTTCTTGCAGCATTTTTAGACTTTATTATCAAACTTTCCAAGCAAGCATGTGTTGAAAAAGCTCCAACCCACATCTCAAGCTGTCAACAGGCTAGCACTGATGCTTGCTCAGCACTTTCAGCAACACATACATCTGAATTATATGTTTACAAACACTTTGAGTTTGAAATTTAGCAGGTTGTCATAGCCTATTTCCCAATACTTTTACTTAAAACAATTAATTAGTATGTTATTTTGATGGTGTTGCCTTGACTCAAGAAGAGCATTTGACCACACAATATATCTAGAAATGCAAATATGCTGCTTCCGACCGACACTAACAGAATGAAAAGAACTCCTGTCCAACCATTCCACTCTTAAAAGAAAACTTACCTGTTGGTTACAAAGTCATGTTTGACTTGAACAGGGTGTACCAATGCACAGCGCACATACTGAAATGTTGGTGCCACCAGGCTAACAGAAGGATGTACTGGAATTGCTGGTTTCAAGTCTGCTGGCTAGAAAAATAATAAAAAAATGCTTATAAGATGAAGCATGAACCAAGACAATGATCATTTCCCAGTTTTTAAACTTCTACAAGTAGATTTAAATGACATATTCTAATTAGCATTAAAACAGATAAAAATGTCTCAAACAAACTTAAGTCTTTGCTATTTCATTCATATTCAGTTCAAGCATACACACAGTCTGAAATTGCTTGATATTAATTTACTTCTGTTCAAATAACGTTATATGTAGTGGAGCAAAAATACACAACAGGGCACTGTTCCAAATGATTTCGCAGATGTGCAGAAAGAGTGGTTCCAGAGCAAACACAGAGGGCAGATAACATTAACTGAATATTTCCCAGTCTCATTCCATAAGAATTAAATTATAGGCAACCTACATATCAATTTACTGTTTCGAGTGAGACCAAAATAACATATTTGGCCAGTATAAATATGTTTCCATCCTTTGGCAATATTGTACAGTGCCACATATTACATTTCTCTTCTTCAAGGAACACAATGTACCTGGTGGCATGATGTTTTCTTGATTCATTACAGTGCAGCAGATCATTCAGAGCAGTTTGTCCTTGACAAACTCCTCAGTTGACTGAATGTCCATTTGTACATGGCATAATTTTAAAACTTTCAAAGGCCTATTTTAATCAAACAGATTTCATGTCATCACTTTGTTTATCAATGAGCAAATATTGAATATTACATTTCATGCTTTGAGGTCATTTTTCCTAAATATTTGTAGAATAAAAATATATCACTATTCAAACACTGCACTTAAAAGGTACCCGTATATGAACAGTGAAAATTATCAGAAAATCTTGACTGAGGGGGCTCCATTTTTATTTAGTAGCAACCATATGAAGAGAACGAACTGTAAAAGTGAGCAAAGCATAGAGAAATTTACCATCTTTTTTTATTCAACTGTGGAATAAAGTATAAGGCTAGAATTTCCAATAAGTTTGATACTCTCAATAAAAGATACGCGACACAACACTCAAAGGAAACATAATACTTTCACAAGCAGAAACCAAGCCCACATATCCTAGCGCACTTCTCAACCAACTAACCTGCAGCAACAGCCATGCATCAGTCCATCAAGAATTTTTGTCCTTAAATAGCAGAAACTAGTCTTCGAAGAATCAGTACTGTAACTCATGATCGTGGTGTCACACTTAGAATATTCATTAAAACACAGACATTACGTGGTTTGTGACACTGGTGGCATGAAGCTAAAAACCCAGAGAATCAATTCTTGCCATACAGAGAGCCATCGGGATAATGCAAACTGTGCTTTGCATTATTAAGAACAAGGTACTTCTGGTAATTTATCCTTTAATCACAATTAACTTTACACATCAACATAGAACAGTTAAATTTTCAGCATCCTTTCCTTTGTTGTATGCTCACTTTATATGGTTGTTAGTAAAATAAAAAAAAAACACTTTAAATTAGCATGGAACTAATAAGCAATCTGTAAAAAAAACCACCACGGGTAAATGATGAAAAAGAACTGTACACTAGTGACAGAGATGATTGAAGATATCAACACAACTCATGTGATTCATGAAACAATACCGAGCTGCCCAGTTTTCTTTCCTTTTCCGTAATGGCAAATAAAGGAAATTTTTTACGCAGAACAGCAAGAACCTAAACAACAATGGCAAAGATGAAACAGCTGCTTCAGCAATGATAATGCTGTTGAAGTAGTGCTCATATCGCACGGCCATACGACCATGGCTTCTTCACGGCAATGAGAACAGACAAGATGTAGCATTCAAAAAAAAGAAAAATAAATGTAGCAATTGCTCCGGCCCTTTGCTGCCACATGACATGCTGTGATTATATAAGACCATGCTTTCGGTGCACTGAAATGTCATGACTTGTCCTAAGAGCTCAATTCCCTGTGCACAAGCTTACAGGGGTCGCAAACATTGCAAAGTTAACCATTATATGAGCACTGTGCCGAAGTTAATTTCCTTACGAATCATTTTCTTCTTTAAACATTCTTTGAATCTGTCAAGAACAACAGGAGTTACGGGGAATCATCACGCCCTCTGAGTGCTTTCTCTCTTCTTTTGTTCCAATGAGTGACCACAGAGGGGATAAAACAAAGGGCATAAATTTACAACAGCGTGCACCATGAAATGTGTCCAATATGATTCATCTCATCTACCTTAAATATGATTCATCCCATCCCGCCTGCCACAAGGCCTCAGTTGTGACCACATTACTCCAGAGAGCCAAGAACGTATGCTTCAATGACACGGAGCGAAAGAAAGAAGATCACGTAATTGTGGACATAAAAATAACGAATACCCAAAAAACTTCATTTGAGCTGCCACCCATTGCTCAGAGCAACAGAGGATATGAGAACCCAAATCAGCATTATTTGGAAGCCCTCCAAAACATCTACCAGTCCCATACAACCAGGGAACCAGCGAAATATTGCCGTGGGTCTTCAGAAAAGAAGGGGTTCGCATTGCGCACGTGCCTTCGTGAACGCTTGGCCGCCTCCTCCCCTGCCCGAAAGACTGGCCAACAATGGACAGGACCCCCGATGTCGTTTACGAAATCCCGTGCGCTGAGTGCCCTTCTTCGTATATCGGTGAGACAAAAAGCCTACTGGAATAACTCAAACAACACGCCAACGACATGCGGAAGCTCTACAAAGAGCGCAGCACAGTCGCCGAGCATGCTGAGACATTGGACCACCAGATCGATTTCGACGCAACGACCATCCTTGAAAGCGAGACTAACTGGAGGAGAAGGTTACTACTAGAGTCGTGGCATATAGAGCGAACGGCCCAAAACAACAACTGCTTTCTCGGAACCCTCCCCCTGTGTATACACACGGACTGCACTCAATGGCAAAACGAGAGAGAGAGAGAGAGAGAGAGAGAGAGAGGTCATTAAACGCCCTGCAAGCGCTTTGAAGATGCCGCTGTTACGTAGTCCCAGTCACCCCTGAGGAAAGAACCAAGCCGGTTCCGAAACGTTTGGTTTATTTATGTACTTTTGGTTGGAGTTTAAAAATCATTTCCCAGTTGTCATACCCAACGAGACAAACATGGGTCAAATGTTTACATTGAAACAAAGCATTACTGATCCCAATAGGCGAGAAATTAAGGGGGCACGCAAGTCGAAAAACGCAAGTTTTAAAAAAAAATTACGGATTTTTGTTTTCACTGTCTTGACAAAATTAGTACCCTGGTGTTCTGAAAAAAAAAAAAAAAAAAGATCTATGCCGGGACTCAACTGGAAATGCTTTAAAATTTCGTCTAAAGAGCACAAGATGGCTGTTCAAAGGCCGAAAGTGTGCAGTCTTCGAGCACATTGCCACTGATACTGCGCCACCGCTTGCCATTGTTGATCTCATGAGGTGAATGGCCGAACCTCACTCTTTGACGGTTCCCGACGGTTTCCCGCGCTGCTGCAGTGCAAGAAATAATAAAAATAAGCATGCAATAACGACGGTTTCCCGCGCTGCTGCAGCACAAGATTAATAAAAAGAAGCATGCTTTTGCCGCATTTTTCGAGCGCTGTGACAGGCTTTTAAGTACTGTGGTACGGATTGGGGACCACGATTGGCTGCTGCGCATTTGTATGTGCTGTGAAGCCTACTTGCAGGGCCCGTGTATCGTCAAGCAGCATAGCTAAACAATGCTTTTCTCGTGTGTTTATCTCCATTATGGATGAAGAAAGCTGTCGCTCGCAGGGGAGCTACACTGTCAATGCGAAAGCTGTTGTGGTGGCGCACTCTGTAGGAATGGGCTATGAGCAGCTGGTCCGATATGCCGCAGTTCTCGGCTTGCAAAAACCGATGCATCATAAGTCATTCACAGCCATCAGCCGGAAAGTCCATGATGCACCAATGGATGCCATCTGTGCCAGTCTTGCGAGGTTGAGAGAGCTCACAGTGAGTAGAGTTAGCGGGGACGATGCTGCCGTTTTGTACGACCATACGTGGCACAAACACCGCCACAAAATGACATTGGTACTGTTGTGTACACTGGATTTCGTTTCAATTTCGAAGTTCTCTCGAACTTCTCCCTAGCTTGCAGTCAGCACAAAGCTCTCGCAGATGGAGCAAAAGAAGTTTGGCAAGTGTTGGTCCTGTCTGTGAGGAGTCGGCTTGAAATAGCCAAAACGACAAACTTTGGTGCTGGTGCATTTCAGTGGCAGTGACCAGTACAAGAAAGATTGTTCTTTTTCATTGCAAATTTCATCACATTTAATGACATCCTTGTAAATAAAAATTCAATTTTAACTTTAAAACTAGTTTTGCTTAAAACACACATTTAGCCATGTTTTTTCAATGCACCCCTCCTTTTTTGGGTATATCTGGTGCTCGTATCTGCATAAAATCTTGCCCAAATGTTTTCGAAAGTATGACAAATGCAGTTATCTAGTTCAAACTTCATTATTTTTAATATATAATAAAAAAATTCAATGTGAACCTCTACTAAGGTAGGAGAAATGAGACTTTGTTACATCTATTATTTTTCATGTATATTACATATTTTGTATGCACTTCCCAATAAATTATTTGCATTCTACACACTATTCAAAACATTATGAACTATGAACAGTAAAAATTATGAAAGTTTAGTGATGAAAAGAGGGGGAGCAAAAAGACTTAAGGTTTTCATTTTGTCATGTTGCAGTACCATATAGCAAGGTCCCAAATCTTAATTCTCTGAGAATCTGCGGGCCACTACAAAAGAATGCGGCCCGCGAGCCGCATGTTTAATTAAGACCCCTGCTATACAGTATGGCGCTGGCATGTAGCAGCATATTTTGGGAACATGTTTCTTTCCTAAAGCCTGAGGGGTGGTTCTGGATCCCTTTATAAAGCCAAGCTAATACTTAAAGAGAAATGCTACTCGAAAGAAAAATTTCTTTAATACGTAGCTTACGGCAATATAAATTTTGCTATTTACGTAGTATTTTTATGCTGATTTCAAATATGCAATCAGTTTTATAGGAAGTTGCATAGTTTTCATTTTGTACCGTGACAGTGGGTGAAGTGTAGCTTTTTTTTACCACACTTTTCCTGTCACTAAACTTTTAGTTATGAGCCATTATTAGATCATATTGCTTCACATTACCTGTAAAATTCAAAAGCTTACCGGCAAGTCTGTACAGTACATTTTAACGAACATAAAAAATTGTAATAGGAAGAGCCTATAAACGTTCAGCCCACACTATTTGCTTGCTTCAATTTCATAATAATTATATTTGTCTTAACAAGTTTTAAAGGAGATAATTGCACTCTCCACATGTCAAGGAATATGTGGGAGAAACTTCGTCTAGATATGGCCATCAGGTGTACCAAGAACATAATGTCTAAACTCAAAAAGTTATCGAAAATTGCATCATAAAAAGAACACACCTTAAATTTAAAAATTAAAGCTAATTTATGTCTTCTATCACGAGAACTTGAGAATCATAGTTATTTTGAGCATGTGGCTTAGATGAACTCCTCATGCTAAATAAAGAGGCAAGGTGACATATTCCAAGGCAGTCTAGACACAATCTTTTTTATTTTTTAATACCCACCTTATGCCGTTTAAAAGTGATTTGAAACTATTTAAAGTTTAAATACAAACTTAATTTTTGTTGTCACGAAGGTAGAGACTAAATTTTGACAAAACAAGTAAGAAAATGTATTTTGGAAAAAAAAAAACTTGGGTTTTTCAAGTAGAATCTCCACTTAACAATTGAAAATTGAGTGGTTATGATAGGCATAGATAAATCCAATAGACCCATTGGTGTTAGCTCACCAGGACAACGACAAAACAGCAGAAGCAACAGGTGGTGCAATGGTTGTGTTACAGACACCAATCATTTGTCTTATCAATGAGATTGATGTCCCATCAGTGACATTTCTTCAAAGCATTTAAAATTAACGAGGCTATACCTTCCTCTACTATACCAAGTTTGAAGCAAAGAAACAAATGGTGAAAATAATCATTATTTTGCTTAGATTGTGGCACTGTTATTGCCTCATATGGTTGCCGTCACAATCACAACCTCTACTGCACTCCAGGTGGTTGCATGACGAGTGTGCTACGGGAATACTGGTGTGCAACCAAATGCTTTTTAGAATGTCTGATGCCATGAAATAGAGCACATACTGGAAGGCCCGATGAGTAATGTAATATATTCAACTTTTTAAGCTAATGAAGCTGAAATTATTAGCTTTTAGATACTTTCTTAACAAGGAACTGTAACATTTCCTCCTATTAAAAAACTTCATTACTGATACACATTTTTATTGCTTTAACAATATGCTGCATGATTCGCATGGATCTAGAAAGGCTAGGTTATAGCTGTCATTTAGGCAACTCCACAATGCTCTATTTTGACGAACACGCAACTCTGAAATCCACACAACACGCAAAGAGGCTGTTTCTATGAAAGATAAATGTGCTTCTTTAAAGACATGTGCAAATGTCACACAACAGCCTACTGTCAGGAAATAGTAAAGATGTAATTAAACTAGGACAACCTTGTGTCCTGGAAAGGAAGAGTATACTGTATGAAATTCCCGCAGCAACACATGATGCTGGCCTCTGACCACACGTACTGATCCGTCCTGTTCCACTGCTGCCTGAAAAGATCAGATAGTTCACTTTAATTTAAAAAGACTGAATAAAAAAAGTTCATTACAGTATTTATTCCAAGCATCTTTACACTAACAATGCCTTGCTACCTGCAAATAATAATTGTTTTTAGCCCCCATCAAAGACAAGTGGCACAATAGACACTTGGACCACCAGTGCCAACCACAGTGGTAACAGCAGAATGGCTATGTCAAAGCCAATGAAAGGGATAAGGAATGAAATATTAAATGAACTATTCCATGGTCTCCCAGCTGTTACACATTTGAGCAGAATGGCTATGTCAAAGCCAATGAAAGGGATAAGGAATGAAATATTAAATGAAGTATTTCATGGTCTCCCAGCTGTTACACATTTGTAACAAATTACCACAGCCACAATTATATCGCACAGCAAAAGCTGCACAAACATCCTGACACTGCAAGCCACAAGCTCCTTTTACCAAGGCTGGTGTGCTATGTGCACCAGAACACAAGAGTGTGTGGGAGCCAGTGGCATTGCCAGCGTGCATGTGAGGCTAAAGTGCTGGAGTGCATGTGTAACTGCCAACACAGCAACATTAAGCATAAAACTGCTACACCATAAATGCTGGCAAAGACTACTGTTCACTTTACCCATAAGGAAAATGCCTACGCTACAGGACGCAACAGGGTAAAACAGGCCTTGCATGCTCAATCTCTTAAACAGGTTCTGAACCACTTTTCCAAAAAATCATCCAATGGCCCTTGTATCAGAGTTTACTGCCTCACAAACCTACTGCTGGAAAAATTTATTGCATCTGTCAAGAATGACCTGGACTATAAAGATTTACCACACAATTTCAGTGCTTTCTCTCTTCTCTCAACCTACCGAGCATACAGGAAGCTACACAGGAGAGGATGACAAGGGGACAAGACTATGTCAGCGGGCATCATGAACCTGAGCGCATGTCATGAAATGCGTTCTCTCAATGCCAGTGCGATTCTGGTGAGCGCTAGTATTGCTAATGTGTAATTTTAGCACACTATAGAGTGCGACTGCAGCATGCAATACCATCCCATGGCAAGAAGCACAAATAATCCAAATACCACTTTTGATTCATGTCAGCTACTGGCCAATAGCAGGAATCTGTTGCTGATGCTGGCAACTTCCAAGAGAGTGAGGACAGGCCTCTGTATGAAAAGGCGCTTGAGAAAGTGGCAACTTCGCACTACACTTGTAAACTTTACATGCTGCACACAACTACCAAATTTAGCTGAACTGTTCACAGCAGTGTTTGATGTTCACTGCATAAGGTTTTCCACCCACCTCAAAGAGTTGTTCATGACCCCTTATGCTGATTACAGATATGAAGAAAGGAATGCTGTGGGCCTGAATAAGGCCAAAAATCAACAAGCTCCATGAAAAAGCATAATTCCAAGCTCCATACAGTCGACGACCGGTTTCTTGGACCCTCAAGAGACCGTAAAAACGTCCAGAAAATTGGGCAGTCCGGAAAAATGAATGCATGCGAAAATGCACCTTTTTTACTGATATCTTTCACTGACAAAATGGGTAACAGCAGGAGTACGAAATTCTCGTTGAAATCCAGTGAACCCATGGTTTAGGTGGCTCTTAAAATAGCCGTTTGTTTAAAAAAAAAAAATACATATATCCAATGTGGCCAGTGCTACCTCAGTGGCCAACACCAAGAAGTTTTTGGCCTGAAAAAGTCGCTGATTTTATTCTGTACAACATTCTGCTTGCCCACGACCATGTCTGTCTCAATTTCGGTTAACGTCATGCCTCTGCTATATACCAATAACAGTGCCATCAGTGCTCGCATCAACTCCGAGCTCGTTGGTTGTGTAGGTGCTGCTTTTTCGACCCCGGTGTCGGAGTCACCTGAATCCTCCGTAACTTGACGAATGATTTCGTTATTCCTCGATTATGCACACAGTTTGAGGTCTTTGTCAGTGTCGGCAAAGCCCTCAAAGGTCATCCCGGCTGAAAGTGAAATGCCGGCAGCGTGCACTTCGTCGAAGGCAACGTCCGTGGACGGAAGTTCGTCACACATGCTGTCTTCTTTAGGCGAGAAGGTCAGCTCGACGTCAGATGTGAAGCCTGCACGGCAAAACCAGTTCTGAAAAGTCTCTAGCGTAACGGCCTTCCACAAGTCAGCAAGCATGTCGACGGCAGACCTCAGGTCAACAGCGTAGAATTTCCCACTGTCGGAGAAGAGCACCATGCGGCTAAGCACGCGTGATTTATAAGGATGCTTCAAGTTGTGAATCACCCCTTGGTCCATCAGCTGCAAGATCGCTGTGATGTTTGGCGGCATAAATTCAATCTTTACAGCCTTTAAGTTCTCGATGTGGCCATGCGGGTGCACTTATCCACAAACTACAGCACTTTTCGATGTTGCTGCTCGAATCTTCTGTCCAGCTTGTGCATGTACACTTCAAATAGCTACTGCGTCACCCATGCCTTGTTGTTGGCTTCGTAGGGAACAGGCAGAGTCAATGCCCCCTTGAAACATCTTGGATACTTCGACTTCCCTATAACAAGGAACAGAAGCTTCTCACTACCTGACATGTTGCTGCCAACGAGGACAGTGAGCCTCTCCTTGCTATGCTGGCTGCCATGGCAAGGGTCACCAGCAAATGCAAGCGTTTTCTCTAGCAGTAACTTGTGAAACAGTTCAGTTTTGTCGCAGTTCAGAATATAATCGGGTAGAAACTGCTGAAGCAAGGACTGCAGCCTTCCATTCTGATATTCGGCGACTACGAAATCGTCAACGGCGCCGCTTTCCCCGCACATCTTCTTGAATTTCAAGTCACTGCGGCTCTTGAAATTGCAAATCCATCCATCACTGAACTTGAAATCCTTCACATTCATATGAAGCGCAAAAACCTCCACCTTCTGCTTCAGGATGTCACCTGACACCGGGATTTTCTTGGTGATCATGGCATTGAGCCACACGAGGAGTGCTTCTTCGAGCTTCGGGTACACAACAACTTGCATTATTCTTTGCTGCCCCGGTTGATTTCACAGCCAGTTCCAAGATCTTCATCTTATTTTTCATGAAGCCCGAAACAGTTTGCTAAGAAATTCCAAACTCCCTCCCCACCTCTGCCTGCGACCGACCGCTTTGGACTTGTTCGATGATGGCGGCTTTCTTTTCCATTGTAAGCCTACAAGGGGAATTTGTGCAGCTCAAAGAAACAGATCAAGATGAAGGAGCAGTAGGTGCCACCGCTATTAAAGGCGAATTCGCTTGACGAAAAGGTAGCGCCAAACAGCTAAAAACTCAGCATATGCAGATGCTCGGGAATCGTTAACGCTGAAACACACTGCAGCACACAATATACTGCAGAGTTGACAGAACAACACGTGAACAAACACAGTGAGGTTTGTGGTTTGACTGGGCTAAGGCTGGCAATGGATTGGTGGGCGCTATATTGCAGCGATTGCCGTTTCGAGAGTGCGGCAGCTGCGGTGCGGTAGGCGCGGTGCTACCGGCCACACTGGACCACATCTGCAATGTCGAGTTAAATTCGAGGCCAAAACAACCGAAATGCTGCCGTTGGTGGCGACTTCAAGCCCGCGGCTAGCTGTACGAAGTCTGGAAAATTGGATGGTGAAGGTTATAAGCGTCCGGAATTTCAACTATTAAATACATTGACTCTATGGGGAACTTGACAGGGCCAGGGATGAGTTCGGAAAATCAGGCATGTCCAGAATTTCGGGCGTCTAGGAAATCGGTCGTCGACTGTACTTCAGGAGACAATGGCTTGTACTCATTGCACAAAGGTCAATCACAATGCCACAGCGGCTGGAGCAGTAGAGAGCCATCTACATCCTTCCCCATTGGCGAAGGGACAAATTTGAAATCCTAAAAATTAAATAATATTAGTAATAACAATAATAATAATAATAATAATAACATTCGGGGTTTAACATCCCAAAGCCACAATATAATGATGAGAGATGCAGAGGGCTGTGGTAATTTTAGCCATCTAGAGTTAAAATGCACTTACATCGCACAGTACACCAGCCACTACCCTCTCACCTCCACTGAATTACGACTGCCACACCAAAATCCTAAAGATTTCATGTTTCTACAAAAACTCTGAAGGTTTCACATTTTTACAAGAGAAGGCATACAGTCCTTCCCAGATAAATCAACAGCAATATTGTTCTGGATACTTTGAACATGAGGCCTGCAGAATTCTTTTTAAGGGGCATTGTGGTGCTTACCTTCCAGATGACAGCAAGTGTGATTTGAAAAGGCTGCAGTGCAGGGGCTTCATCAGGCACAACAGCGACTGCACCTGGGTGGCCCAAGGTGTCAGAGCCAGGCAATGAAAGCTCCTGGCCCCACCAGCTGCAGAACTCAAGGCATGGACTGCGCCCACTCTCCAACTGTGCATGACAGCATGCACAACAGCTGGACTCAATAAAAACATGAGCAACTGGTGCAAGAAAAAGTAAACCTTTCCTGCAGCTGAAAGTATCACTTTTCATATTATAGCAAAAATAATAATGTTTGTAGAACAAATGAAAAAAAAAAAAAACAGATGCTGATTAAAAGCAAGAGTTATTTTAAAATGACATTTACAGTTCATATAAGAGCTTTGTTCACACTGAACCATACAATGGCCAAACGACTTCCAAAAGGGTGCTACCAACCTGACCGTGTTCTGATGAAAGCTCCCTGGGTTGAAATGTTGTTTTAAAATACAGTTTCCCTTTGGTATGCATCTGTTTCATTTTTTTTCACACAAAGAACACATTTTATGCAGGGTGTTCTGTTTCTTGAGACAATACAGATTAAAAAAAAAAAACTCATGACAGTCATACTCCTGTTGTCTTCACATACAAAGTTTACGTCAAGGTGGTGCAACTAGAGGGACACTGAAACCACAAATAAACAAAAGTTTGTTAATTAGCTTTCCGTTATTGACTAGAGGGCAGTTTGCATGGGAATGTAATATGCCTTCCAATATATGGCATACGCACTTTTTGAAAACGGAAAAAGCTGCACGTACTTAGTGACATTCATCACCGAATTTCAAGTACACATTGAAACAGACAGCACCTGGTGTGCAGGAAATGCATCCACTCAGTTATGCCAGAATAAGATCACCCATGACAAGGAAGTGATGAAATTTCAATCAAAACACATCAAAGCAGAATCTAGTCAGAAAAATTGGTACGTCATCTGAAATACGGAACAAACCCCTCATTTTCTTGCATGTGATGTGTGGTGTTTATATGTTTCTTCTTAAACTATAGACGAGAACTTTCATTGCCATCAGGGGGCAGCCATCTTTGGTGGGGGGCTGCTGGTCAAGTGGAACGTATGACCACGATTGCATTTGACTTTTTTTTTTTTTTCGCATGCTGGCCGCTAATGTTTGTCTGCCTGTGGCATAACCACATTGACCGCCCCTACGCTGGCCACGCCGACAGATTATATTGTCGTGGTACAACGCGAATAAAACACAGGTACACCTTGAGACAACGAAAGCAGCGTGTTCTCAACAGCTGAGCTGCAAGATCGTCTTCTTCGGTCTCGAGACAAGCTAGAGGCCCACTACCTCGTGCCCACTAAATCCCCCATCATCGTTATCGTCCACATGTAGACACGCGTCATTTGCCTCTCTCTCAAAGAGCATCGCCCCGATGCGAAGTCTGTAATGCAGTTTTTTTCCTCGAGTAAAATCTCACACAATCACTCTCTGACGTAAGGCTTCACGCGGACTACGTGAACGAGTTCAGGATGGTGCTGGCGACGCCTTGTACTATACGAACAGTCGGGAACAACTTCGTGACATCACTCAGTCGTCGCAGCACTAGGTACGGTCCAAAGTATTTTCTTAAGAGCTTTTCGGAAAGTCCTCGTTTCCGTACAGGCGTCCAAACCCATACTTTGTCGCCAGTTTGGTAGACGACTGTTCTGCGCTCAGCATTGTAGGGGCCTGCATCGTACTCTTGCAGCTGGCTGATCTGTAAACGTTCAAGTTGCCTAGCTTTTTCTGCGCGTTCTGTATATGTGTCGCCGTCCGGGACGATGTCGTTGCCTTCGTGCGGTAACATTGCATCTAACATGGTTCGTACTTCCCGTCCATGAACGAGGCTGAACGGTGTCATGCGGGTCGTTTCTTGCTTGGCCGTGTTATACGCAAATGTTATGTAAGGCAAGATTCTATCCCAATTTTTGTGTTCAACGTCTACGTACATTGAAAACATGTCTTCAATGGTTTTGTTTAGACGCTGTGTCAGCCCGTTCATTTGCGGGTGGTATGCGGTGGTCTTACGATGTGTTGTTCCACTCAGCATCAGACATGGTCCAAAAGAGCTGCCGTAAATGCGGTTCCTCTGTCTGTGATTAAGACGGTTGGTGCACCATGCCTCAGTACAATATTCTCGATGAAAAATCTTGCCACCTCTGCTGCTGTACCTCTCTGGATAGCCTTTGTCTCGGCATAACGGGTCAAATAATCTGTCGCAACAATAACCCATCGGTTGCCTGCAGTAGAAGTAGGAAGTGGGCCCAAAATGTCCATGCCGATCTGGTGGAATGGAGTTATTGGGACCTGTACGCGTTGCAGGAGGCCAGCTGGTTTAGTCGGCGGTGACTTGCGTCGCTGGCAGCCGAGACAGGTACGAACGTGGTGCTTCACGGCTGTGGTTAGTCTTGGCCAGTAATACCTTTGCTGCACCCTGGCCAACGTTCTTGTGTAACCCAAGTGGCCAGAGGTAACCTCGTTGTGGCATGCTTTCAGTACTTTGGTGCGAAAGGCTGTTGGGATGACGAGTAGATAGGAAGATCCCGTCAACGAAATATTTTTTTTGTAGAGTACTCTACCACGTAAACGAAACGATGACAACACTCTTGCAAAATCTCTTGGCGCCTTCCGAGATCTGCCATCCAAGTAAGTAATTAAGCCAAGCAACTCAGCATCGTCTCGTTGTTGCTGCACAATGGTGGTCATGTCGAGGACACTGAGAAATGATGTTTCCTCCTCCTCGAGTAGGGTTGCCGACTCAATGGGTGAACGGGACAAACAGTCGGCATCCATATGTTGCTTCACCGACTTATGTACGACTGCCATATCGAGTTCCTGCAGCCTGAGACTCCAACAAGCTAATCGGCCGGTAGGGTCTTTAAGATTTGTTAACCAACACAGTGAGTGGTGGTCGCTAATTACTTTGAAAGGGCGGCCATATAAATACGGACGAAATTTTGTAACCGCCTATACCATGGCGAGACATTCCTTCTCACTCGTGGAGTAATTAGCCTCAGCACGTGTTAACGTTCTGCTTGCGTAAGGAGTTACCCTTTCTGTGCCCTCTTGCTGCTGCACAACCACAACTCCCAGGCCAGCATTGCTAGCATCGGTGTGTAGCATCGTAGGGGCTCTTTCGTCGAAGTGGGCAAGGACTGGAGGTGTTTGTAGTCGCTGGCGAAGATCGTTAAAAGCAGCTTCCTCTTTGTTATTCCACTCAAAGGTGACGTCTTCTCTCGTGAGACGAGTTAACGGTGATGCTATGCGTGCGAAGTCCGCGATAAATCGTCGATAATATATGCAGAGGCCGAGAAAGCGTCTGACAGTCTTTTTATCGGTCGGCCTAGGGAACTGTTCTACGGCTGCGATTTTTTCAGGATTGGAACGAACACCTGCATGACGCATGACTTAACGACATGACCAAGAAATCGCAGCTCTTCGCAGCAAAAGTTGCACTTCTCAGGCTTCAACGTCAGGCCCGCATACTGTAGGCTCGTAAGACCACCTCAAGTCTTTCAAGGTGCTCGTCAAACGTTGCGGAAAACACTGACGTCGTCCAGATATACTAAGCATGTTTTCCACTTCAACCCAGAAAGCACGGTATCCATGAGTCTTTGAAAAATAGCAGGCGCTGAGCACAAACCGAATGGCAAGACCTTAATTTCATATGACCCATCTGGTGTCACAAAAGCAGTCTTCTCGCGGTCTCTCGGGTCCACCTCGATTTGCCAATATCTACTCCGCAAGTCCATTGAAGAGAAGTATCGAGCATGTCGAAGTCTGTCGAGAGAGCCGTCTATATGCGGTAGTGGATATACGTCTTTCTTGGTCACCTGATTAAGCTTCCGGTAATCCACACAGAAGCGCAGGCTGCCGTCTTTTTCCTTAACGAGGACTACAGGCAACGCCCATTGATTGATATGTGGGGTTTAAAGTCCCAAAACCACCATATGATTATGAGAGACGCCAGCAGGCAACGCCCAGGGGCTCTGTGAAGGCTGAATGACGTCATCTTCAAGCATTCTCTCTACCTGCTGTTGTATCGCTTCACGTTCTTTTTGAGCCACGCGATAAGGGTTCTGGTGAATAGGTCTCGCCGTTTCCTCGGTAATTATTCATTGCCTGGTTAGAGGCGTCCGGCCAACTCTTGATGTTGTCGAAAAGCAGTCTTGAAATTTGGACAGTAGCTCAAGGAGTCTGCGCCGGTCGTCTTTCGGCAAAGTAATGCTAACGTCTAGAACAGGCGCTGAATCAAGATTTAGAGACTTGTCGACTACCGTCAAGCAGCCTTCGGCATCTACGACATCGTCCAAGTAAGCGACAGCAGTGCCTTTAAAAAGGTGCCGGCGCTCAGAACTAAAATTGGTCAGCAGCAAGTCCGTGCGTCCCGGAGCAACTCTGACGATACCTGGTGTGACGGAAATACCGTGGGTGAAGAGCAGCGAGCTTATTTGGTCTGCAACTCCTTCGGCGTCAAAATGAGCAGTGGCGGCCACAGAAACAAGCGTGCATGACTTAGGAGGGAGAACCACATCGTCTTCAGTAAGACGCAGTTGGTTTGCTCGCGCCTCTGGAGAATTGGGTAAGCCCGAACTGTTGCAAAACATAATCAAGCTCTCTGGCATGTTGATGACGGCACCATATTCCCGTAAGAAATCCATGCCAAGAAAATCTCTGCAGCATGCGGCGATAACGACGAACGACGCAGTGAAAGCAGAACCTCTGATGTCAATTCTTCTGGTACATCTTCCAGAGAGCATCAATAACTGACACCCTGCCGTTCTTATATGAGGGCCCGTCCACGGCTTCTTCACTTTTCTGAGGCTGTCAGCAAGGTCCTGACTGATAATGGAGAAGTCAGCTCCAGTGTTGACTAAAGCTGTCACTATCTGGCCGTCAAGAAGAACACTCAGGTCGGCAGTCACAATGTCATCGTTTTCACGGCTTATCGGCTGTATGACGTCATGCTGTGGGGGCTTCTTGTCGTTTTCTTTATGCCCTGTAACCTTGCCCCCAGAGGTCGCCGCCCTCAGTTTCCCTGGCGCGGGCTAGGTGACTTTCTTGTATTAAGGTCTGCGTAGGTGCGGCGGTGCGACAAAGGCGAACGGGCGGGGGACGGAGAGCGGGATCGACGTCTCGGACCACGAGGGTGAGTAGGCATTGCCTCCTCTGCAGTGGTACAGCCGTTCCCAAAGTGAGAACGGGCTCCATAGAAAGAGGTGTCGTCACGGCGTAGAGTGTATTCGTCGTTGGCACGTCGACCGTCAAACCAAGGTCGATTAGGACGGAATGAATCACCTCAATGCCAGCAATGATGGGCAATATGTCCTGCACCTCCGCAGTGAAAGCATAGTAGACGTCTGTCCAATGTGCGCCATGCATCTGTTTTCCGGGTCGGTGGACATCTGAGCATCTCCCCTGGCGTCGATGCCAATGGGGTGGCTGTGGACGGCTGGTTGTATGGCTGTAGCACGGGTGGTTGATGCAGTGTCTGCTCTTGCGGCGGAGACGAAGGGGCCATTGGCACCTGGTGGTACAGCGTCGGCATAGCGGGTGGTGGACATCGGAGAGCGGCAGCATAGCTCTTAAGACGCTGCTGAGCATCAGGGCCAGCCGTAGACAACGCTTGGTGGATTTCGTCGAGTACGACTTCAGCGATCGACGTGATGGGAGTTTCAGCAACCGGATTCCGCAACCTCTGCAGTTCTTCGCGAACTATCTCCCTAATTAAGTCTCGCAAGCAGCTCTGACTCTCAGATGTCATGGCAATAGCATTGATTGGGACATTGCTGGACATGCGGTCATTTTGCCTGCAGCGTTGATGGAGCGCCCTCTCGATAGCTGTAGCCTCCTTAATGAAGTCAACCACAGTACTTGGAGGGTTGCGCAGTAGCTGTAGCCCGGCGAAAAGCTGTTCCTTGACACCGCGCATGAGGTAACTAAACTTTTTATCTTCCGTCATGTGCGGGTTATCTCGATGAAAGAGACGAGTCATGTCCTCGGCAAGCATTGCAACGGTTTCGTTGGGTTTTTGAACCTGTAGTTCCAATAACGGCTGCGCACGGTCCCTTCTATCGACATTGGCGAAGGTATCGACGAACTTCTGTCGAAAGTCGAGCCAAGCTGACAGATTGCCTTCTCTATTCTCAAACGAAGTTCGAGCACCGTCGTCAAAGTAGAAATAGACGCGTGAAAGCTTTTCCTGTTCCGACCACTGATTTACCTTGGCGACACGCTCGTAGTGGTCAAGCCAGTCGTGAACGTCTTCATGGGCACCGCCACTAAAGCTATCGGGAACGAGGGGTTGAAAGATGGTCATCTGAGATGGGTGCGTCGAAAAGCTGCCTTGGGGCACCTGTTGCGGGCTTGCGTTGGCCATTCGTTGAGGTGTGCGGTGCCTAGCAGGTCCCAGCGAGTGAGCTGTGGCGCGAGGCCTCGCAACCGTCGACTGGAGCGATGCACCGGAGTTTCTACAGGTGACAAAGCGTTTGGACTCGATGAACGGCTCCCAGCGGGCTTGTGGAGCATCAGACAGGGTTGCGGCCCAGCACCTCCACCAGTGTCGTGATACAACGCGAATAAAACACAGGTACACCTTAAGACAACGAAAGCAGCGTGTTCTCAACAACTGAGCCGCAAGATCGTCTTTTTCGGTCTCGAGAGAAGCTAGAGGCCTACTCCCTCGTGCCCACTAAATCGCCCATCATCGTTATCGTCCACATATAGACACGCATTAATATATTGGGCCAAGAGTGTGCAAAACTGCTCTAAACACGAGTGTTATAGTAAAAATAATCTTATAATAATAATAACATCTGGTGTTTTACGTCCAAAAAACACGATATGATTATGAGAAACGCTGTGGTGGAGGGCTTTGGAAATTTCTACCATCTGTTCTTCATTGTGCACTGACATTCCACAGTAAATGGGCCCTACTAAAAATAATCTGGTCTATAAAACTATTTGCCCATCAGAAAGACATGTTGCAGTGGCTGCCGCCAATTTTTATGCTGCACTGAGGGATAAAAAGTGGATATTGTGATTTTTTTGTGCAAAGTTGAACAGGGACAGATTAGCACTGAACATTACACGTAAGGATAAGGCAATCCGCTGGTGCACTTAAGATTATTTGCAGCTTTCTACAATAAGATAATACTTCTACACATGCTTTAATGGAAAGATGGCATATGTAGATGGATTCATTTGATTTTATTTCCCAAGGTCAACCTGCTTGGTGTTATAAAATGCATGGAAAAACATAAAGACGAAAATGTTTTCATTTTAGGCTTATTGTGAGAACTAATTGAAATGATGTCCTAGTGTGGTCCAAGTACACTTTCTATGATTCTGGTAATTGCAGTGTCACTATTCTCTTCCCGTGGTCAGCCAATTATCATGAAAGTACCGGCTATATGTAGTGAATGGGCAAAAACACATTGTGGGTCAGTCCAGTACAGCCCCTGCTTAATACATGAAAAACAATGGGCCTTGTAGATACCTTGCCATACTACAAACAGTGAATAACTTGAACTCATGATGTGAGGGTGGAGCTTTGATTTTCCAAATCTATTATTGCTTTATGATATTTATAAAACTTTACTTATAAAACCTTATTTAAAAATACAGTTCTACATATATTATATTACGCTAGTGGCAAAAGAGTACACACAGTTTCACTGTACAAGAAACCTGCATGCATCCAAAGACAAGCTGGCAAAGTAGTTAGTGTAAATGTGAGCCACCATTTCATTTGAGACTACAGAGGAGTGGTTTGAGAAATGCAGGATATATCAAGCAAAATGTGCTTCAAAAAGGGCAACATATCATGGTCCAAGGACAGTGGCAAACAACTGTAAGTGACAATAGATCGGCATCATTAATTTGATGTACGAGTGTAGCTATCGACCTTTACATCAGCTGTTACTGTCCTTAGAAGATACAATATATGCAGCTGGTCAAATGACTTTACTTACTTGCACTCGTGTTAAAGGAAGCTGCGAGACCACTGTTGTGTTGTCCTGGCTTACTGAAAAAGAGAAAGAATATCTTAGGTGTAATGTATATGAAAATAATTATTGCAATGACAGCAGAAAAAGGAGTGCAATAACATACATTTAGAACTGAAAGGTGTGACCCGCAGTGTCAGGTTTTTTGTTTCTTGTGGCTTCACCACTGTGGTGCCTAAAAAATGATATGAAAAAAGTCACATAATTAATAAAAAAAAATTTCAAAAAGCATCAAATTTGTATGTAACATTAGATAGGGATAAAATGATAAATAACCAGAACCCAATACAGTAAGATCCAAAACATTGTTCTATGGTACTCTTTTATAGATTCATATTGTTTTACTGGTTTGAGGAATGTAATTACAGAATCATTAACATACATACGACCTCTGATGATAATAAACATTATTGTTTATTCACAATAAACATCATTGTCTAAGGACAAACATGAAGGAAGCAGTAATGCAACAGCCAACATTCATAGATGCGTTGTGTTCAAAAACTTGCTCAAAGGAACAGCACCCACCCGTCTGTAGAACTGATGTCATTGGATGTGTGTCATCGGAAACCTGGTCGCAGATCGGAATCGATCTGCAGTAAGCTTTCATAAGCAGCAAAAGAGCTTGCATTTTTTTTATTCTAAGGCTGTGTCCTCATTCCCTTTATTCTGAGTAGCAACCAGAGCAAGACAACAATCAATGGAAATCAAACTACACTAGAACTCACTCATAACGATACCGGCTTTAACAATACATTGATTATAACAATGAGAAGCTGCTGCACCGTCACCTTTCCCATGTTTTCTCTGCTGAAATAATTCACCTACACCAATGCCTGCTTGCTGCATTATAGATTATAACAATACATTCTCGCTGTTGGGTGCCCATTCCGAAAGGTAATGGAATGTGAAATCCTTGAAAAGATTGAAGAAAGTCTGAAATTCAAGCTACTGAACCTCCGCCCACAACACTACGTCCTCCAACACCCCTTGCGATTTGCAGTATGCTTCACCATACAGCTTTGTAGCATTGAAAAAAAGCTGACTTTTAAACTGTGCTATAGTGGTGGCTTTTGTTGGAGCGACATGCGATTTGAGTAAAAAGTTGAGACTTAGAAACGTTTTAGCACCCAAAACTTCAAATGTTGTCTTACATTCACTCCACAAGTTTTGCGGTGGCCCCATGAAAGCGTGCAAATTTTCAAGCATGTCCAAAAAATTATCATCACTTTGGTGTCTGTTGGAGTATCCTATTTGATATACTATAGTTGTCTCACTGCAGCCTGCCGTTCTTGTATTTTCCTCTTGCAACCTGTTTATAGCGATTATCGGTTATAACAATGAAATTTCAGTGGCACTTGAGCACTGTTATAAGTGGGTTCGACAGTATTTTTGTTCGCAGCTGGTAGTTTTTGCTGAAAAGCAAGCAGTGTGCTAAATAACACTTTCATGTGACACAGCAACCATCTAATATGCATATTTTTACTACAGTTTGTATATTTACCAAATAACAATTTACCAATGTGTGCCATCATGCCCTAAGCATAGTGCATCAAGCCATATTTTTCATAGCGTACCATACATATAAAAAAAACTATAATAAACATATCCCTTTCGTTGCTGAGCAGACCACTGTGTAAGCATCGCTCTATTGCGCATTCTTGTCACTTTTTTTTGCGTGTCACTTTCATTTTGTCACTTTCTTTCCTCTGTTTGTAAATTACTACTTCTTCTGACTATTTTTCCTTGTGATCTATGTATTTTCTTGTCGATATTTTCAGCCATAGTATTTTGTGTGTTTTCTATATTCTATTGTTTCCGGTGATTCACATGCTTTACTGTAAATAGTGTTATAAGACTCATTTAATATTTGTTCTTTTTTTTTTCTCGAAGTGTATTCACAGTGTTTTTTTTTTTTTGTGTGTGCAACCCACCCCTGCCTATGGCTCGCAAAGCAAGCTGGCAGTATCAAATAAATAAATAATCATTTCGTATAAAGATACCCTGTAATGTTACCATAAAGACCTCGTCTATTCACGACAAGATACCACAGACTAATTATCATTTTCCAGCATGACTAAAATTACAAGTTCCACTTTGCTGTATTCCACTTAAAACTGAAAAAAATCCATAGCAACCAACACTGCTAAAGCTGTGGCATAACTTGAGCCAATCGAAAATTGCGCAACCATAACATTATACCCTCATTTATGTACTTAACATTGTAGTGTACAGTGACAAAGGTAACACTTGTTATAACTAGTACACAGCTACGGCCACGTCTGTGCAGAGCGTGCGAGCAGCCAGAAACACTTAGAGTGAGTTTCAGGCTCTGACGTGGTGTGTCAGGAGCATTCACAACCTAGTGGTCAGATTGACCACATCAGGGTCCAAAAGTGCCTCAAGGTGTCGCCAGAGTTTTTCAATATCTTTACTGGTCATGAAGCTACGGCGTCACTCTATGGGAGAGCTTTGTGCGCTGCAAGCAGAGGCCGCGGGGTGCCGTTGCGTCCATCGAGCAGACGGTGGTCACATACCGTCGCATGTACCCGTGCACTTTTCACTGTATGTTTGGTGTTGTGCATGTTGTGCCTGAAGATCAAAAAAAGATGCCGCGTACATGCTACGTGCCTGGGTGTCGATCCGGTTCTAAGGAAAATGACAAAAAAGTGTAAGTTATCGCTGTCTAGAGATCAAATAGCAGGTCCAAGACAAGAAACTAGTGGTTTAACATTTGATCCCCTGCCGGTGAAAGCGTGTGAAAAGCACTTCGATGACAGTGACATCTTTCATGTGAGCCAGTGGCTAATCGTATGAGTTGTTCTGAAGACGCCGTGCGACTTTCCAAAAGTTTCGCTGGACACTGTGCGGAGGATTTTCCATGGCCTCCCTGTGTATTTGTCTAGTGGAAAAAGGTCCACAGCTCACCTGCCTACAAAGCGTCGCCGGGAACCATCAGCTGAGCTGGAAACTGTCGAGGCTACACCGGCACTGTGCATGAGCCTCTTTACACAGCTGCCATTGATAATAATGCAATTAATGAAGGTCAGCATACTGGCCAACTTCTTTCTCCTTGTTGCAAGCCAGTAATAAAGAAGCTCAATGAGTGAAATGCTCACCGTTTTTATTTATACAGGCACTGGGATCACCAAAAGTGCCAAACAGATGGTAAAATGCCAAACAGAATTGGCCAAACAGATTTGGTAAAATGCCAAACAGATGGATGGAGCTACATGTAGCTCCTCGCAGCTTGCAAAATTCGAAGTACACAGCCGTTACTTGGAACAGATACTTCAGCACTATTAATGGGAGCTTGCTAGGGTGACGGCGCAAAAAAGGATGCAATAAAAAACAAAAAGAAACTCTACCGAGTTTGCGCAAGCTGTAAAAGCATGAAAAGTTAATTTTCTATATCAGTACGTCATGAGCACGAGAACATAATTTTTTGTGTCGTATGTTGACACCGCCGGCGTGGGACATAGTAAGTCAATCTTCATGTCTGATGAGGCATCTAATACTTTCACCTTAAGTCAAGAGTAAAAATATAAATATGGACAAGTAAAACACAGCATGAGTAAGCTACACAGCAAAGTAAAGGACCGAGAAACTACATTGCATGAACAGCTGTGCTTTAAACGGGCTATGGCACCGTAGTGATAAATCAACACAAAACAAAACATGAAAACCAGGGCGAAGCCATATGAAGTATTCCTTGATCCTTGTCAACAGCTAATTCAAAGCACTGATTCATTCAAATCTGGTGTTCGTTTGATACATACAAGTCTATTTTAGGATTTATACATATATAGAAAAACTGAATGTGTATATAGCCTGAAAGATTGGATATACACTGTCAAGAGTTGCAACCACTGCCTTTCGTGACGTGCTAAGATCTACCAGAATCCTTGAAAATTTCTGGGTCATCCAGAAATTTTCACTACATGCCTCAGAAAAAAAAATTTTTAAGCGGTAGCATATCTCACGGTGGTAGCAGCAAGCCTTTGTTGCCATCAAATTTCTAGCTTCAAGGCACCGTTACATGCGAAATTTCATTTTAATAGAGCCTTCCCAAATTTCCTTGAAAGTAACATCAATCTGAAGATGTAATCAATCTTTCCGGGTACATTTAATAATTCTTCGCAGTTCAAGCGCATGCTGTACCATCGCAGTGCCGGGGCTGCTTCGATGCCCCGGGGTAGGGTGCCTCAATATGCACGCCCCCCGCTCAGGCTGCTGGCACCTCTTGTACTACTCCCTCCGCCATTGCAGTGCCTGCAGCATCTCCGCCAAGCTGTAGAGCTCCCGTGCCAGGTTTCTTCAGCATGTTTAGCCTGGATGCTGAGTTCCTCAGGGCTACAACCATTCGCGTTAAGCTAGAGACCACTACGCGTAAGAGCAAAACCTGTATGCAGCGGGAGTGATAAGGGCGGCCGCGGCAGATGTCTTCCCTCTGAGTGGAGGAGTGGGTATCGAGGCACTCTACCACGGGTCCGACAAAGGCACCTCTCATGGTTGCTCCTGTCCCTATGTCAAACTTTCGGTGAAGCTTTACGAAAAGTAAAATTATTGAAGAACTCTGGTGTCAACCCGCAGAGCAAAAACCAGCTGCTCGTGAACTCTACACAGACGTGGCCACAGCTGTACCGCACATGTTCACTCATAAGC